TGAAACGATTAAATTATAGATAAACTGCGATTTAATCACAACATACCCTATTACTGATTTATTCGGTACAGTCTACTATAAAATTTTACAATTCTCGCAAATAACTCTACATAGCCTAGATCGTCTTTCATCAAACATTATCATTGAGCGAGAGGTAGGGCGTGGGCTGGTAAGTCCAGCTAAAAACACCTGACGTGGGGATAGCAGGACCTCATCATTGAATTTATGGTCATCTCATATCAGGATGTCAACGCGCAGCGGGAGAGGGATAGATTAGATCAGACTGCCATTATGTATATTGGGGACGCCGACGTACAACTAATAATTCATGATGGATACGGAATTAATGAATCCATGATTGGGTCCATGTCCCTGTCCCATCCCATGCACACTCGCCATGTGCACCTAATTTTAGACTCCTAGCTTAGGCCCTCCAGCCCAATCTGGCCATGATGCTGATGGCATTTCTTGTCAGGCTGTGATACTGCTCAGATAGGTTGCCACCAATTCAATGATCAGAAACTAGTAGTTCATTGGCATGTTCATACAACATTAGAAGTATTAATTCATGCCAAAATATTTAATAGGTGTTATGGATATATTCAACACATGCATGTTATGAATACTTTCATTGAACACCTATTGTGAATATTCGTGAAACTTTCCATCACTACAAGAAAAATAACTTTTAACGGCTAAGTGTATTTGTCACGATAAGTGATTTATTTGCCTCTATAGCTCTATAGCGGCACATAAATGTGTGCTGTCAATACTGCTGCCGCTAAATCTCTTTAACGACAAATGTTAGTGGTAGATATTATTTGTTACTATTTTATGAATTAGCGACATATAGTTTTGTTGCTAATTTTACTTTTGAATGACTATTTTTGTTGTCGCCTTTTCTTAAATTGGAGACACAAGTATATGCCACTAATGATATTTTTCGTGGCAGGTCTTTTTGCTGGCGCAATATTAAGTTTTAGTCTAAGATAATTATCCTTAAATAAATTTTCTTTTATTAGTTTACGTTTTTTGTAGAAATTAAATAAATTTTCAAAACACCAATAACTGCCTATGTATTTTATTATTTTTGACATTTTTTATATGTTATTTTTGTTTATCTCATATATATAATTTTATAAAAAATGGATTTCCGTGGTAGAACAGTAAGGTCAATCATGTACAGACTGGAGGCTTTGGGGTCTACAAGTAGGCCATCCGGCATCCATGTCCTACGGAGCAAGCCTCTGGAAAATCAAAGACGATTGCCAATTCTGGTTTGGGTCTTCTTTCTTCTATGTCACTTTGTACAGCTTCTCGATCTAATCCAGCGCTGATGAGATTCTGAACTAATAATCCAAAGAAACTATAGTGAATAAAGCAAAAACAAGAGGAAACCAGTTAAGGAGATAACCCTGTGTTTGGCAATTGGAAGATCTGAACTGGATCTTTGGAGAGCGGCCATCACTTTGTTATTTTGAGAGCTTGCCATCTCTGCCAAACTAATACGTACTCTCAGCCAATTTGTACATCTCTGCGATGTCATTGTAGCATTGAAGATAGTGAGCTATGTATAGAATGAGAGAGAGCGTACGTTGCCGCCTTGAAGAATCATCTCTCTATTACGATCCAACCAACCTCTTTCTGGTGTTTCATTTAACCTCCTGTTTCACAAAAGAAAATCAACTCTGAAATGAAAGAAGGAAAAGAATCATGTCAGTGATATTTTTTTTGACAACTGAATCATGTCAGTGATATGTTCTGCCAGTCCGCCTCTACCCCTTCCATTTTGCACGCACAAAGTCACCCCATTACGATTTTGCTATGAAATATGTAATCTCATTTTCTCAATTACAGAGTTTCATTCCCTGAAATCTCGAGGAGTTAACAACCACGTAATTATTTCTTTTAAGCAAAAGGAACGTAAATCTCGGATAGTGGATATGTATTGAGCAATCTTTTATATGGTAAGTTGCTTTTTTTATTTCTAAAATATTGCTGCATTTATTTTTATAATAAAAAAAAAATATAATTTTACCATATTTTCGTTAGAGACAGATATATTTGTTGGGCATTAGATACATTAAAAAACTCGCACAAAAAAAAGATACATTGAAAAACCAAATATCTATTTATGTGCCGAGCAAAGTTTTTTTTTGGTACGCTGTGCCTAGCAAAGTTAATAAGCCATATATAATTTTAGATTTAAAAGTAATGGCGGCTTTAACTTTTGTCTGCTAAACTAATGTTTTTCCAACAAATAATTTTTGCCTCTACAAGTCTATTAGCTAAAACATTAGAAGACAAATGCCGTATCTTTGCCTCTAATAGTAATATGCTTTTAAACATTATTTTATATATAAAATAACATAATATTATTAGAGGCACATAATAATATTTACAGAGGCAAACTTTATATATGTTGCTTATAAGTACTTTTAGCAACATATATTACATTTGCCTCTATAATTTAGTCGCTAAAAGATACTTTTCTTGTAGTGCATGAATGCACTTATAATATTATGCAATGTTCAAGAAGACGCTGGGCGCCACCTAGGCGAGGAGGCATCGCCCAGGCCGATTAGTCGTTGTCTAGGCGAGATTAAACGTCGGAAAAAAAAATGATAAATATGTAAGTTTAGAGTGCAAGATCAAACATAACATTCATAAGTTCACTGATTTGCAGTTCTGTAACTGACAATATTCAAGATAACAATCATTCAAGTAGTAACATAGAAGGAAACAAACATAATAAAACATTACAAATGTTAAGATAAGCCATAAAGGCGATGACAAGTTAATAAATTCCAAGTTGATCACTCGTCATCTTCATCCATATAGTTCTTGTTAACCACAACATCCTCCTCATCCTCCTCGAAATGAATGTCCTCACTTTCCTCGTCATCTTCTTCTTCAGACTCAAACTCCTCATCGGCAAGGTCTCTCACTAATCTGGCACTCCTGCGAGGTTGAAGATTCTCACTAGCTCCCCTTGCCTCATCAATAACATTCCATGGAATGCCATCGAAACCTTCATCATCTTCATCACCAAACACATGCAAAGTGTGACTATCTCCTCCCTCAAATAGAAAGCCTTGTGCTTCAATTGAATCGAAACTTATGAGAACATCAACATTCTTCCTCTCCTTTATCTTCCTTTGCTTGGACATCAATCTAGAGTTAAACTGGATGTACACTAGTTGATTCATGCGACTAGTAGTAAGCCTATTCCTCTTCTTGGTATGAATCTGTAAGGACAATTGATTATACAAGCTTCCATCTAATATCTACTTTTACTATATAGCATATGGACACAAATTCAAAACTACTAACCGACTCAAAAGTACTCCAGTTTCGCTCACAAGCAGAAGAACTTGAGGTCAATGACATAATCCTTATAGCCATCTTTTGCAAATGAGGTGTCTCACTTCCATACATTCTCCACCAAGCCACTAAGAAATTAATTAACTCTAAGTTAGTGAACGACACTAAATCATAAGTTACAAGGAAAGGTGGAAAGAAGTACTAACCAGGATTGTAGTCAAAGTTTACACAATTCTTTGCCATCTTTTTTCCAAAGAGTCCTTGTTTCCTTTGAAATTTTGTGAACTCTATGTTCACCACCTCATCATGTATATCCTCATCACAACCATTGTAGAATTGCTCAACACAAGTGATCAATGCTGTTGTAATGTCGGCATTGTCAAATATTGAGGAGTCGGCATAACTGTAGTGAGGATTGAGAAGATATGTCGTTAGATGCAATGGAGCATCAAGTTTGCCTCTCATCTTCTTCTCCACAATAACAATGACTTCTTTGTAACGAAGTTCTTCATTCTTAAACGCCTCCTTTATCTCTCTCTTTGCCTTCAAAAGTTCACCATACACAAAACCCATAGAAGGTTTCACATCCCCATCCACTAATCGGAGAAGCTTCACCAATGGCTCAAAAAATGTCAAGCAAATTTCCACACCATTCCAAAACCTAACACTAAGAACCGTGTCATAAGCCTCCTTGCCTTTCTTTGAACTGGTCTCCTTAATATTTTCCCACTTCGCATCCACCACCATCTTCCTCAAAGAATCTTTCTTATCCAACAAACTTTGTAGAGTAAGAAATTGAGAAGTAAATCGAGTCACACCTGGTCGGATGATCTCTCTCTTTTTGGTGAAGGATCTCATGCATTCCAAGGTGCGATGGTGGCCATATATGAAGATGGTGAACCCCTTAGCTTGATCTACAATTTTCTTGAACCTTGGTATGTTGCCGATTCCTTGGAGCATCAAATTGATGGTGTGGGTTGCACAAGAACTCCAAAATATGTTCGGCCTCTTCTCCAACAAGAGGGCCTTTGCTGCCATATTGTTGGAAGCATTGTCCGTCACCACTTGCACCACATGTTCAGCTCCAACTTCCTCTATTGCATTGTACACTAGCTCAAAGATTACTTCACCTGTGTGAGAAATCGCTGATGTGTCCTTCGACTTTATAAAGCTAGTTCCCTCGGCACAATTGTGACTATGTTCATGATGCTTCTCCTCTTCATGTCTGTCCAAGCATCATTCATAATAGAGCAACCATTCTTTTCCTTCTCCGCCTCTCGATCACTTAACAAGCTCTTAGTCCTTGCATACTCAGCTTTCAACAAAGGCTCTCGAAGCTCATACTGTGTAGGAGGCTTCAATCCAGGACCAAATTGACCAATAGCCTCAACCATTTGCTTGAACTCATCATTCTCAATGGCATTGAATGCAATAGCTACAAAATAAATTCAGGAGTACATTAGAAAAACAAATTGTGCATCTAAGAAAGAAGTAAAGGGTATAGCTATGCACTAACCATGTGTGTACACCCATTTTGCAATATATTGATGCACTTGAAGTGTCCTCTCATTAAAAAGTGTTTGATTTATCTTTTGTTGCTGAAATGATGCACTCGAAGACAAGCTAGGATCAATGGCACGTGCCCACTTGTCTATAGGACCTAACTTGTGAGGTTCTTAGCTACCTGCACAAGTGAGGTCTTCTTCCTGTTGTCCACCGGAAGAGACATTAACATCACTTCTCAAACCTAGCTCACGAACAACCTTATCATGCTTCTTCTTTTCTGTTCCTTCCAACCATTTCAAGCATGCCAATTTAGCTTCATTTGGGCAACTCTTACACTTGGAAACTCCGCCACCAACCTGAGCAATGTGTTTCTTGAAACGGTTAATTCCTCCTGTGCTTACATTCTTCCAAAAGTTACACATGATTCTATCCTTGTTGTTTGGATCGACGAGCTTTCCATATTCCCAACCAATATCATCAGACTTCCTCTTCAAAGAGTTCGCATTTTCAGCCGTTGAAGCCGTGACAATAGCCTCTGTCTGTTCCATTTAACCAAAAACAAGCAGCCCTGTAATTGCAAACACACATTTTCAACAGCCAATTTTTTAAGGGGACAACAAAACTGATTAGCTAGTAGCAACCAAAATAAAAGCAATCACACAGCAATGAAACGAGTAAGATAATTGAGATTCTTGTGCTGGCCTCCAAAATAAAAGCAACCAAAACTGATTAGCAAGTAGCAACCAAAATAAAAGCAATCACACATCTCCAGTTCCTTGTCAACGAAGCGGCAGAACTCCGATTCTCTCCTCTTTACAACTGCTTCTAAAACTCTGATTTCTTCTGAACTCCCAGTACCCCCTCTTCGTTCAGGGACTCGTAAACCAAGCGGCTGTCGAGGTCGAGAATGGAAACCCTAGTCCAGAGATCTTCCACCATCGGCTGAGAACTACGGCGATGCTGGAGAATGAGGGCGAGGACGAGTCACGATTGGCGATGCTGGAGACCGACGGCGAAACTAACAACGACTGGCGATTCTGGAGACTGGCGGCGAGGATGTGGCGCAACTGGCGACGAATCCCCGCGATGCTGGAGAAGGCGGCTGGAGAGGAGGGATGAAGGCGGTCGACTGCTGCAAACTTGCAATGCTCGACTGCTATTAGGGTTTTCCCCTTTCTGCGCCAGCATCCAAAACGCATAGCAGCATCATAACCAAATTTTTTTTTCTGGGCGTCGCCCACCGCTTGGAATCGCGGATCCAAGCTTGGAATCGCCGCCTAGGCATTCTTCAACGCAATTCCGCGTTTATGTCGCCCAGCATTCCTCTCCAAGAATCCTCCTCGCCTAGCTACTAAACGCGCCTAGGCGAGTGTTCTTGAACACTGATATTATGTGAAAATTTGTTTTGCTCGTAAAAATTATTTTAAATTATATGTCGAAAGTATATTGAGATTTCACAAAAATTACGTATCATTGCTCAAAAGTTAAAAAGGTTTCGGGTGCACTAGATGCATAAGATGAGCATATACAAAATCTGGTACTGTTCCATCGTCCACAGATATATTTTCAGGCGTTATGTTGATGTAAAGGTGTTATTTATACAAACGTTAAACTAAGAATTAAAAGTAGATAGGTGAACAATGGAACAACCTATAATCCCATACACAGGTCCGCTTACCTTTAAGAAATTTATCCAAATTCCAGCCAAACAAACAACAGTTGGGAACGAAAAGGCACTGCTAGGGAAGATAGACCTCTTCTTCTCTCTTGGTTTGTCCGTTTCTCTCTTTAAAATAAGAAGAATATGATAATCTCTCACTAAGCTCCCCTTTTTAAGTTTCAACTCCATTATCCTTTTATACCTAGGGCGCGTGAACATCACGGTCAAATATCACGAGCGTGAAATGAAAGTTTGGACCGTGATCTCGGGAAAAAGCGCACCATTTAATTTACGGCCTTCACGTTCTGGATGGGATTATCATGGTCTGGTGACCGTGATAACTTTTAGCCCACGAGGCGTAAAAAAGTCTTTAGACGCCTTGCATGTCACAGGCAGGCCATCATTTTCACAGTCGTCTGACCGTGATAATGTTCCTCAAATCGTGATCTTCTTCTTTTTGCACTTTTTTCTCCGTCTTTACTCTCTTTCATTTAACATTCGCTTCCAAGGAAAATATAACTTGCTAGAACCTGACACATGTTGGAAACATGCATAAACTAGAGTAAAATCGAATCTTAAGCGATGTAAACGCCTCAAACACCTCAAGAACACGGGGTGAAAACATGTGCAATTAGTTCCGAATCACTCCCCCACACTTGAATGTTTGCTTGTCCCCAAGCAAACCATTCTCAAACAAGGTAATATCTCAACCTACAACAATGACTTTGGGGCATATCAAAGGGCTCAAAGCGGATGAATCTCAATGGTGATTTGGCACCAACACATGGACAATCACAAACAATACCGGCAACCAGCACAAATGGCATTAGAATGCATTAAGAACATGCAAAGAAAAGTTCTCACCCCGTCCACAAACCAACACATAACTTGACAAGACTACTCACAAACCACAATTATCCATGCATAGAGATAAAGCCCTAGGAACAAACGAATGAGCGAGCTAGGTCCTCACCGGGATGTATGATTGAATATGAAAATGTGAATGAATCACTCATTCTCGACCAATGGGGTCAGGACCATTTGATGCAAAAAATGTGCATACTCAACACTCACCCCTATCGTCTCTTCACCATGACGGTAACCTCTAAATGTTAGAGCTCACAAAATGGTTGTTGTCACTAGTTTGTCTGTAGGTCTTAGACACGGGTTCAGATGACTAGCATGGGTCTTGGACATTAGGATAAGGCTTTTTGGTTGTTTGCAAGCATAGCATGAGGTTCCATATCTTCAACCTACGACCAACAAAATGTTCTATGGTTTTGACTATAACCTTTCTCCTACAAGAAATGGCCACTAGCATTGCCCAAAAACCAGATTTCCTTACTTCGAAACCACAACAAAGCATGAACGACATTCAAGCACACTTTCTCTGCTACACCTGCTACCCAATTTTCAAGCATAGTAGTGAAAGAGGTCAACAAGCAAGTAGGTGTTAGCTTGGATGCTAAGAAACACCTTTCTAGAGCATACACATCAACTTGGTGGCAACTCTCTATCTTTTACTTATCTCTTTTCAATTCTATTTCTTACTTTCCTTTTTTTAGAGTATTAGAGAGCTAAACACATGCCACCTTTTAAACTTACGAACAATGCTCACCATTAAGAACTTCCTCCAACACTACCTTTTCATTCCTAACAGGAACCGTGCAAAACTCACCTATGTAGAACCTCAATGGAGATAAAAGAAAAGGGAGATCCGAGGCACAAGGATGACTCAAAATGGTTTAGACACAAAGAAAGCAAAGGTTCGTTCTATCGATCTCAATTAAGCTCAAAAAGCAAACCTCCTAACATGAGAACGACACTAAGTCACACGGCTCAAAATGGGTTGACTGGGGATAAAATGATCGGGACAACCAACTTTTCATGTAGTGGACTAATCCTATGCCTCCATCATACTCGCTATTGACAACTTGAATGGTACTCGCCATGGCAAGAGGGATCTACCACACATGAAAAAGAGGATCAACAGAAATTTCAAATGGCTACCTAGTCTCTCAATCATCCATTCCAATTTCAATAATTTTGATGCATGGCAATTGTAATCATTGAGTACTCAAGTCAATGCATCCATCCATTTGCACACATATGAGAACTAAACACTTGCACCAACCTAATGCAACTCTCAATCATCATAATAGGATGAAATCGATCGCAAGTAACCAATCCAAAGTCAATGCCAATAACACAAGATTCACCAACTAACGGCCACTTCGATCAAACATTCACACACATTCACATGCCACTTACATATGATACACCCTTCCACACTTAAGCACGACATTTTCCACAATGGAGAAAAGTGTAGGGTGAAGACGTTACCAAACATGGGCAAGGAAACGTTGAACATCGACCGGGGTAGAAGATGGGAGCTTCACAAAGAACAAGAGGCAAACACAAACAAACATACGAACATACTCGCACAAGGCGAGGTTATTGCTCATAACAATATTCAACATCAAAGTTAAAAGAAGACAAACTCACAATAGTACATGTTCACACACAAAAGAAAATTTAAACAAAGCTTCGAGTTCAATTGGAGAAGTGGGGCAAAAGAGATCGGCTCGGCCACTTGTCTCACTTGGTCGTCTACGTCTCGCGGGTTATAGATGGGTTCTCGTCGTCCTCAAATCGAGCCTCGAGGTGGGAGCATGCCAACTAGGTGGAAACCCACATGTAATGCTCCTCATGGTGCCTTTCTTGATCGGAAACTACCATGATGAGCTATTTTTCAACGCAATTTCGATGCAGGTAGCACACTTGGTGCTAGGGAGGCCTTGGCAGTTCGATTGCCAAATTTCCATGACGACCGGACAATCTGCTACTCATTCAAGCATCGAGGCAAGAAGATGGGCTCACACCTTTGTCGCCAGAGGACATTCAATCCCATCAACAACACATGGTGCGAAGTCGGGCACCAGGGAGAGGTGATTGCAGTAACCCACCTCCAGGTAATGAAAAGGGGTCCAATTTGGCGGCTCCTAGTTATTTTTTAAATATTCTCGCTGGCAGAACAGTTCCACGTCGAAATAGAGCACGTCGGTCCTGTTTTCCGGCTGCCCTAAAGTGCACCGAATTGGGTGGAGCAGCTGAGATGAAGTCGGAACAAGAGGCCAACATCAAAACATCCCAAAAGCACCAAAAAATGTGTAAAATCAACAAAATCCAGCTGAAGCAAGTTCAATCGACGAATCCCAAAAGTGAAATTTTGCTTCCAAACGTGACGGACAATGAAGAGAATAGGAGTGAATCGGTTGTGGAGTTTGGGCACGATTCGAAGCAATCCAATGCTGGGAATCCACTTCTGGGGTCTCAGTGATGGTGTAGGAATCAAGAAATTGGATTGACAAAGGCTGTGGAAGAAACGCCCAATTTTCAAGTCGCCTTGCCGGATCTTGGAAATTCGTCGCCAAAATTTTAGAATTTTGAATTCTCCGGTGGCGCGAAATCTTCAAGCCTTGTTCTAGAAGAATTAGGCACCATCCAAGCTCGGGAGCCAGTGCATTCGTGTCCTGGGAGTCAAGCGCAACAATTATAAGCCAGGAATCAGATTAATAAGGCTTCAAACAAAAAGCACAATTTTATGGAGGTCGTCGGAGAATCAAGTTTCGCCGGAAAGGGGAGGTTTTGAACTGCCTTTTTGTTACCTTATTTGGGATGATTTTGTCTATTCTTTTGAGTACAGGTTGTTCCAAGATTTGAGGTCAAAGATTTTTAAAGAAGGGGGCCATGATATGAACTCAATCGACCCTTCTACGAGTTCCAATTAATTGTTCAAAGATCAAGCAAGAAAAAAGCTAGAAAGTGGCTAAGTGTTGGGGCAGTTTTGGGAACCCTACTTTGGAGGGTTGGTTCTCTCAATTGGAT